TCCTTTGAAAACATTTTTACTGCCACACTCTAACAAATGAGGTTATTACAAACAAGCCCTTAAATTAGAGGTGGTCCTGCAAACATAGGTGGGGGAAGAATGGAAAATTCTGTGTTCACCCCTGAACATGCCAGATTTCATCATTCATAACTTGAAAAATGCTGAAATGATTTTCTTTAAATTTGGATTGTTTTTCTTTCCTCTATTAAAGCTATAAAATGAGCCAAGCTTAAAGTTTGTAGTTTCAGCTGTTCCTGAATTATGCAAATATTTCAATATAAAAGTATGTTTTTCCATTGCTGAACTGATTTTGCTCAGACTTTCTGAAGGTTTCCCTTTGGGCCAAGACCAGTCATAAAATGTATCTGACTAAAAGTAATTTGTTTAAAACTGTTACGAGCAACTCTGTAAAAGGGATAGCTTTCACAGCATTTGATTCTGACAAATGTTATAGCACACATATAGATATGACATATATGTTCCTGCCAGAGCTTGTGATTTTTGATGCAAGTCTTAAAAGCTCCAGCTGCTGAAATCAAGAGATTGCATGTGTTCATTAACTCCCCCTGCTCTCTCCACTTATGTGTTTTTTGTGGTTACAGAGAAAAGTATGGAAACATGAAATGTATCCCATAAGCTTAGTCAAATTCAAACCTCAGACAAATCTCAGTTAAATCCAGAATCTCAGGCCTGGGAAGAAGGATGTGATAAAACAAGGCTGTGGGGACCAGAGTCTGGATAGCCAAATAATTCCCAGTATGGATGAGGAGCATCTGCAGAAGGAATTAACCCAATACTGTTCCTCAAATAAACTTTTCTGGTAAGCAAGTTCATAGATCTCATTTTCAGTCACCAGTTCCTTTCCCAAAGCATAACCCTCTGTGCTGAAAGGTTTTGTCACAGGTGTCTCTCACAGGCTACTTTTTTCCAGGAAGGTTTTACCAAAATTCAGTCATATTGTGGACCAATGCTAGAGCAAATTACAATGTTTTTGTCAATGCTCATTCTTAAGGTCGCTGAGGAGGTCCAATGCTTTCAAGTTTTTCAGTAAAAAGATAAAATTTGACATCATCAAAAAATGTACCTCAGGTTGCCCAGAGAGGTTGCAGATGTTCCCATCCCCGGAAACATTCAAGGTCAGCCTGGATGAGGCTTTGAGCGACCTGCTCTCTTTGAAGATGTCCCTGCTCATTGCAGGGGAGAGGTTGGACTAGATGACCTTTAAAGGTCCCTTCCAACCCAAACCATTCTATGATTCTATGACATGAAGAGGAAAACCTCAGATGACGATCACTCGCTTATGCTCTGTGGAGTCTTATTAGAAGTTGACAGTTAATTTAGTCAACACTTCATCTGCCACAGCTCCTGTGTGCCAATCCTAAACACTCCTTTCCCTCCCTCTGAAACACGCTGATCACACTCAGCTTGAATTTGAGCTTGCCTCTTCCTTGCAATTATTCCTACTGACAGAGAACAGGAAGGAAGGGGAGAGAAAAGGGGCCTTGGGGCTGGAGGTCTGTGACGGAGGAGATATGAACAGACAGCAGAAAGACCCAATGCACTCCATGATAAAGAGAGAAAAATTTTTCCTCTGAAAACAAAGACAATTAAGGCAGCCAAAGAAAGTGGACCGACAAATCGGAATGGCTTAGCTTGAGATGGCTAGTGCAGTTATTGCTTCCCACTGTTTCCATGATCTGCTCTGGCTGCATGGACCTCTAAGTTGGCTGCCAGTCCATGCCTGAGTGCCTACAGCTCATGGTCTGTTTGAGATGAGCCACCAGTGCTTCTGGTGGGCATTAAAACGTTGTGTGAATTGCAGAAATTCATAAGATGACAGAACATCTTTGCAGTGTGGCTGGGCCAGATTTTTGGAGGAAGTAGTTGTCTTAGCTGTCTCAGTCTAAGCTCTCTCCCTCATCTGCAAAGTTTTATTCTCAGAACTGTTTGGTTTCTGCCCCAGGCTCTGCTCCTCAAATACCTGTTGATACTTCCATTCTCTGGAATGTCCAGGAATCAACAACCATTGCCACAGTTTTTTCGACATGTTATGACTAGCTGTATTTGGCCTTTTTCATATCACTGTCACTCCCACCAAGAAAGCCCATGTGCGATTTCCAGGATGCATGATTGTGTGCCCTTTAACAAACGAGGCAACCTGCAACAAACCCTTTTCATCCATCTTATTTCCTCGCCTTCCAGCCAGAGCTGTATCAAAGTGTATTCCCTCATTATTTCCATTACTTGATCCCCATTCAACCTACATGTAACTCATCGAAGTGGTGCACCCCTCCTCTCATAACCCAACCCCTCCTGACCCAGCCTTGTCCTGGACAGTCTGCAGAGGCTCTGAGAGAGCAAACAGAATTCTGGTGAGGATGTTCTCTCAGCTTCCATGCTGCCTGTCTCATCTTGTCATGCACAGGCAAGGGGAATGGGGGTGGCCATCCAACTGTGTCTCTTCACAGAGTGCAGCCTGATCCAAACCAGTCATTTTTACTCCCATGTCCACAGTAATCACGAGCTGTTGCCAGAGAGCAGAGACCTTTCCATGGGGAAAACGAGGAAGAACGAAGGGTAGAAAACCCACAAAGGCCAAATTCACCTTGGAGTCTTTTACTCTTCCACATGTAAGCTCCAAATTCATCCTGTGCCCCTTCATACATAAACTAAGATCACTGGAATACATGATCTGCCCAACAGCTGATGAAGCGTGGTTAAAGGGAGCTGGAGAAGGGAAGAATGAATCCTTTGCCTGGATACCAATCCCCCCTGGCTCAGTCACTACTGACAGAAACATCTTCCAACTAATAAACATGCTGTTCTTATTATTATTAACCTGGACAAAATATAAAACAGAAGGTATGAACAAGTATATCCAAACCCATAGCTGACTTTGCAGATACTATTTTAATCGAGGCACAAACTCCTTTGAGACTTTATTGTTTCCTCAGAAAGGCAGGATAAACAACACCACACAGCCTGCTTTTTCAAAAAGTGCACTGGAAAAAGGAAATTAATTTTACACTGCTAACTCCTAAATGCAGTAATTTGTCTGAAGATCATTTAGAAACTTTTACACTTTCCACTGCAGGTTTGAAACCTAGACCTAGTTAGTTCTGAAATAAGTGCATTAGCAGCACTCTGTGTCATTCTGTGCTATCATCATATGCTAAATTAAGGGATGAGTTTTCCTTCTTTCATTATTATTTTAACGTGAGGAGGTGGGAAAAAGATGGTCCACACCAAAGGAAGTGAAGAGGGGGGAAAACAATAAAAATTGGTATCTCTTTCGAGAATTGCCCCACAGGCCAAACATTTTTATGTTCTTAATCATTATTAAATGACTTAACATGACACACAGAGCCTGGCGAACGATTGCATCCTGACATGAGAACGAATTACAAATGAAATGAAAGATCAAGCTGTATTAGAGGACTGCCTCTGGGAAATGAAAATCTTTAATTCTCTTTTATTATTGACATTTATTTGGCTGCCATGAATAACAACATAGCAAAGAGATTCAGCTATGCTTGTGCACTGAATAGCTTATCCCACGGCTCAAAACTGCCTTAACATTTATCATGTTTGCTTTTGTAGCTGACACCATTGCATACACTCTCTATCCATCTTGCATTTATCATGCATATAAAGTGCATTCTCTAATTTAAGTTCATTTCATAGCGAACAAACAGCTAAGATTAGCAAGTGTCAGTCCTCAAATAAGCTCCCAGTTGTAAAAATATCAAAGAAGGGATTAATGGATTTGTTAACAACTCGTTTGAAGAATAAAAAAAGTACTTGGTGAAAATTAAATAAGAGCACAGGAGGGTTACATATAAGATTTAGGTTTACTACATTATTACTAGCTCATGTATACAAACATTCTTACACTGCTATTTCTCAGCCAACTGTACAGTACTCTAGCAGAGTGCCTCCATATGGGCCATTCATGGTATGCAGCAACTTTCTGGAAGGAACACTTCCCTCATCGTTCAGTGAGATACACATACCCAGCTCTCAATCACCGGTTTCTATTTCCTTTAAAACAGTTTGTAGCTAACAAAATAGGGGAAGCAGCAAACTATTGGAGAAATCATTCAAACTGCTGCTAGGAATGATCTATACAGCAGTGATGTACCTGCTTAGTGCCTAGCCCTGCAGCCACAGTATGAAGCCAATTGTGATTTCCAGGCAAATATCGTATGAGTAAGCACCAGTCCCTCAGGTAAAAAGCTTCCGCAACTTCACTTGATTTCCAGAGGAGGAATTCAGCCCTGACTAATAACTTACCTTGTGCAGGAATGAACGACTAAAATGGCTTGCCACAGCACATGTTTTTAATAGCCTTATTTAGTCTAGAAGCATAGATGGACAGAATTAAAGAGACTGTCAAAAGGTAGGCAGTCATGTTTATAATGCTTAAATCTGTGTGTCGTACATCATCAATTTAGACAGCAGAAACGACTTGTATCCCTGCTAGAACACCTTTTTCCCACATACTCCTTTGAGAATTGAAGAGCAGACGGCAGAGAAGAGCTAAAGTGAGACTTTCTGCTCACAGCAAAAAAGCCTGGAAATTCACTTAGTACTGGATTTCACTTCCTCCTCTTCGCAAATGTTTAAATATACTACACTGTTGCACAGCTGTTCTCAGCAGGCACAGTGTATTCTTGTTTGCAGCAAAGATGGCTACACAGATAAAATCTCAAGTCATAAAAATCTGAGTAAAACCAACTGGATCAATATTTTAGATCTACGTTCTAAAAAAAGAACTTAGGATGTTCAGAACTAAGTTCTCAGGCTTTCTAGTGACATATCAACTTCTTAAATTCAGAATCTAAAACCAATTAAAAGCATAAAAGATGAGAAACATGGACTAACATCAAAAGGCAAATGCTCTGATTACCATTTAACAGCTAAAATTTGTAAAACCACAACTTGTAATTGATTAACTGGAATATTTACTGTGAGCAACAACAAAGATTTGAAAAATATACCTGTAGCCAATACAGTGTCATCTTTCCCCTGGGTAAAGACTACGATTCGCTGCCTTTTAGTGTTCACCTTTGGCAGGGCTTGTGTCTTCCGGGCTATCTCTTTAATGTCTTCAGTCTGTTAGCAGAGAGAAAGAAAACTCTTGTTACCAGCATAGTAGAATGGTGAGAGATTAGAACTTTATTAGTAGATCAAAGATTTATTTTCTTAGAGTCAGGTATAAAATAGACTGTACTGTCAGTAGAGGAGGATTTTTAAAAGGAGGACTATTTCATTCTCCAAAGGGTTTATGTAGTACTATGAGACCATTGTTTTTAATCTTGATAATGATACTTCAGCTATTCCAATCGTTGCAAAACTGCAAAGCTAACAAAGGAATTACAGAGCAATTCTTAATGAGCAATTAGTGGGTTTCTAACTGGATTCTTACCTATCATAAAATTAAAAATAAAATTTGTAAGAGAATACTTTGGATAAACTCTGAGTCTGATCTTCATCCAATTTAGCCATGTTTTATAGTACTATAATCCCTCTGACTTCAAATTAAAAATAAAATTTGTAAGAGAATACTTTGGATAAACTCTGAGTCTGATCTTCATCCAATTTAGCCATGTTTTATAGTACTATAATCCCTCTGACTTCA